GAGGGGTTACAGGACGCACAGGAGGTTGGCGCTGTCATTTCCATAGCAGTAGGTGGAGCTCACCGGGCCGCAGGGCTCATACACCTTGTCGGGAGGACAGTTAAAAGCTGCAAGGAGGAAGAAGCTCACCGTTAGAGTCTGGGGCACCCATCCAGGGTCAACTCAAGGTGTAGCCTCAACGCTGTGTCCTGCCCAGGTTGTCTGAAAGGCACCTTGGGCCCCAGCCACCTGTGCACAGCCATCCATCAGTCAAGACCTGCAGCCTGGATTCTGGATCCTTCCAGCTCTGCCTGTCTGCAGTTTCAGCCCTACCCGTCCCACCTGCCTGAACAGCCCTGTCCCACCCAAGCCCACAACCACCACCCCGACCCCCAGTCCACAGTACTCCGGTTGTCTGGCTACTCCTTTCTCTCCCTGGGGTCAGCGTGCTCCTTCTCCTCCAGAAAGCCTACCAGGCCCAACCATGCCTGTCTACCAATGGCTGTCCAGTATCTCTGGCCCTAGCAGGCAGGGCTGTGGGAGGGGGACACTCACGGCAGGAGTGGTTGGTACGTCCCCTCCAGTCAATGCACACGCCATGTGAGGCACAGAGTGAGGCGTACAGCTCCAGGGCAGAGCACACCACATTCAAGTCTGTCATGTGGCAGTGGTCGAAGACGCAGCCCTCAAAGTACGACTGTGGGGGAATGATGCGGTGACACGGCTCAAAGACCCTGGGGACACAGGGAAGTATGTGTACAGTCTGTCCCACCTCACCTGTGCTCTCAGCCAGGTCCACAGCAGGGGCTCCTAGACTCAGGGCTTTAACCAGTGTGATGCTTCCTTCTAGGGACTGCAGACCCCCACCTGTGAACCCCCCACCTGCCCGAAACAAGGATGTGTCTGCTGATTTTGCAAGCCCCAGGCCATTGTTTGACTGTGGCCGCTAGTCTCCCCTTGGCCCTGCACACCTGGTCCCCTTTGGTGGGTGGAATTCTTCATGCCCACAACAATAGTATGGGAGCAGACAGCCTCAGAGACCGGCCAGCTGGACATCCCCACTGGGCCCGAGCTTCCCATCCCTGCCTACTCCACTTAGAGCCACATGGACTGGCCCTTCATACCCTACAGAACAGCCTGCCCCAAGACCCTGACCTGCATCCAGGTCCCACCTCGCCCTCCTTCCCCAGCAGTCCTTGCCTGTCCCTGAACCCTCCCACCTGGTGTCTTACTTGCTGAAAATCAGCTGGCAGATTGGTGACGGTGTACACGGGGTGGGGCTGGTCTTGTCTGGGGTGGTCGGCAGGAGTGTTGGAGATGGCCCATGGCAGGAAGACTGGTTGCGGCTTGTCACCTTCCAGTCGTGAGACATCTGGGAGCAGGAGGTAGCCACGGTCCCATAAGGCGTTCGACAATCATCCTTCTGGTTATTGGTGCAGGTGCCTGGGGGTGGGTGCTGGAGTCAGGCTGATGGAGGATGCCGAGCTCCCAAGCTGGGAGTTAGTTCTGATGTTCCAAGGCAGCCTCTTGGTAGTGAACCTCAGGGCCTACCTGGGACTTTCACCTCCCTGGGCTCAGCTTCCTCCAAGAGCAAGACCCTGGGCAGGGTGCAAGGATGGCCAGGTGTGGGCTCAGATATGGACTCAGCTGTGGGCTTAGGTGTTGTCTCAGGTGTGGGCTCAGGTGTGTGCTCAGGTATGGGCTCAGGTGTGGGCTCAGGTATGTTCTCAGAGGCAGGCTCAGATGTGATTTCAGGTGTGGACTCAGGTGTGATCTTAGGTGTGTGTTCAGTTTGTGCTCAGGTGTGGGCCAGGCAGAGACCAAAGCACTCAAGTTTGGAACTATGAGGCAGCCATTTGTTGGCCGAGACTGCCTTCTTGGGTGGGACCCTCCTCCAACGCCGGGACCCTCCCAACCGTGGTCCCGCTCACCGCATTGGCCCTCAGTGTTGTTGGCGAACTTGCTGAAGGGCACCTCCACTGAGAAGATGAGCCCACTGAACATGACCTGCAGGCCGATGGCAGGAATGCTCACATACATCTTGATGCCAACCTGGGAGATGATGATGCCATTGCTCCTGAAGCCAGGCTGGACCTTCTTGTTGTTGAAGAAGATCTGGACATACCGCAAAACCCAGGGGACAGAGGGCAGGTAGCCAGTCAGCAACAGCAGGAGGGTCACGGCCCTGCCTCGGGTCACAGAGGTGCCAGCAAGGGAAGGTCTCCTGTGCCCCCACCCCAACCCAGCTCCCAGAGGTGACCCATAAGGAAGCTGCTGGCAAAGAAGCCCACCCACCTGGTTGGCTGAGACACCGACCCCACCAGGCTTGCGGGTCAGCAAGACCTGGTCCTGCTGGTATTCGACAATGATGGAATGGGGACAGGACAGCCCGTCCTCGGCGTCACAGAAGTAGTTGTCAATGAGGACACGGAGATGGCCATACTTGGGCACGATCTGCTGCATCAGCACGTAAGTACAGTTGTCCAGGAAGGTGTAATAGGTGCCATCAAAGGTGATGTAGTGGGGGTCACCCCAGCCGCTGCAGACACCTGTGGGACCAGGGTGGCTGATGGGGGCCAGGCTTCCCCAAAGGTCTCCCCTCTCCCCATCAGTGGGTCACACACAGGGCCTGGCCCCACCCACCACTGCACATAGGTGAGGGCTGCAGGTGTGGACCAGGTGGGCTCTGCACCTACCCAGAGATCTGCCAAGAGGTGCTGAGATGGCCGCAGAGGAGCAGGGCTGACCCTCTGCCTGCCCCTGCCCAGTGGGCACCACGGCTCTGTGGCTTAGGCTTTTCCCACGAGCACCTCCAGGCAGAAGCCCTGAGCCAGTGCCCGGGCTGCCCACCTAGCCTGCCTTCCTGTTCGGAAGTCCTTGCTGAAGTCCAGTCCATTTCTCTTCTGCTTTTATGGAGCCTCCTCTGTCCTATGCACCCTGTCCCACCCACCTTCCCCCCTGTGCCCTATCCTCCCTGACTTCTCCCCACTCCAGCCTGGTCAGCTGCTCACACTGGCATGTGGCATGATGGCAGCAGCCGTCTTCGTCCACCGCCTTCACAGCTGGGTAGCCATTGGCACAGGTCAGCGCCCTGGCAGGTGGGCACTTCCGCGGGTGCAGGGTGATGACATTGTTGCCCTCACAGGTGGCCTGGGTGCAGTTGGGCATGTTCCAAGTCTCACCTTTCTGTGGAAGCAAAGGGAGTGCAGAGTCTCAACCGCCTAGGTCTCCAAGGGTCCCTGTGTAAGATGAGGCCTAGGGGTTCCAGCACTTACTCAGGGGATCCCAGGTCCCTTCATGGGCTCCCACTCCTAGGCCTTGGCCTCAAACCCCTATGTGGCTGCTTGGCTGGAGCAGGACACTGAGGACGTGCTGGGGGCCCAGTTCTCCCCATTCCCAGGAGAGGCTTATCTCCAGCCTCACCCCCCAGTGCCTACCAGGCACCCCCACATACACCCAGGACAGGACCACCTCCTGCTCAGTCTGCATTGGCTCCTGGCTCTGCCCGCCACGTGGACTCACAATGTCCGCAGAAGGATGGTTGATGTCCCTGAGCCACCAGCTACCATTTCCCCAGGGAGAAGGGGGAAGTTACGGTTACCTTTCTTGGAGGACCCACATCTGAGCACCCATGGTCAGGGCTGGGTGAAGGGGACAGTGGTGGTGTGGGAGTCAGTGTGGTGGCTGGGCAGTCGTGGCTGGCATGCCTGACCACGTTGCAGTCCTGCGTGCACTGAGCAGAGTAACAGTGCCCATCAAGGTCTGTCTCCTGGTAGATGGTGGTTCCTACAAGACAAGGATCATGATAGCAATTCATGGGCTGGCTCAGGGACCACACACAGGAAGGGCGCTTCAGCTGCTCCTGTCCACCAGGTGAGCCCACTCTGGGGAGAGCCACAGTGGAAGGGCCTCCTTCTACCGTCTGATGCTGGTGACAGGAAGAAAAGACACAAAGAGAAGTGGCCAGCAGGACAGAGAACTGTTTCCCTCAAACACCCAAACACATCCCATGGCACAGGAAGAGCAATGATCACCCCAATCCCTTCAGACAGGGCTCCCATGGATGGGGCACTAACACCTGACTCAGCACACACGAAAAACCTGGACAGAGAAGCCACATACCAGCAGGGTAGAGCTTGTCGGCCACAACGCAGTAGCAGATCAAGGTGGACTGCACTGTGGAGCTGACTGATGTTGTGGGAGCAGTGACGGTGGTGGGTTCTGGAGGGGACGTAGCCACAGTGGGGTGTGTCACATTGGGGCAGCCATCCTGGTGCTCACAGCACAGCACGCGGATCTCATAGTTGAAGCATGTCTTGAACTTGCCCGTCTGGTCCTGGTTCCGGCACACCAGTCCCACATCTGGGTTGCACTCAACCACCTGCCCCACCTGCTCGATGCTGGCATCGGGGTGGTTCTCTGCATGGCACTCCAGCCGTGTGATCTCCTCAAGCCTACGGCAGACTTTCTCTCCACGTCTGATGATGTTGTCATAGGTTTCCATGTCTCCACCATGTGGCCCAGGGGATGGGAAGTCCACATCGAACCACTTGGTCCATGTGCACTGTTTTGGACAGGTGGTGGTCACGGGCTGGGATTGGGCAGTCTCAGAAACAATGCTGGGAGTGCTTGTAGGGACTTGGGTTGTGGTGGCAGGAACAAGTGTTCTAGTGGTAGCAGGTAGAGAGGTAGGAGTACTTACAGGAACAGAAGTTGTAGGGACATAGATTGAGGTGGTGGTAGGGACAGACGTACTGGTGATTAGAGAGATAGTGGTTAAGGTGGTAGCAGGCACAGGGGTGTGGGTACTTAGGAGAGTTGTGGTTGTAAAGAAGGTTGAGCTGCTTTTAGGGACAAGCTTTGATGTTGTAGACACAGATGTGGTTCCAGGTCCTGGGCTGGTGACAGTCACAGTTGGGGTGCTGGGGACTGTGGTAGTTACTGGAGAAGGACAGTGTTGCTCACAGCACAGCACGCGGATCTCATAGTT